CACACACACACACTCTCTCTCTCTCACACACACACACACACACACTCTGATGCTCTCTCTCTCACACACACACACTCTCTCCCTCACACACTCTCTCTCACACACACACTCTCTCACACACACACTCTGATGCTCTCACACACACACACACTCTGATGCTCTCTCACACACACACTCTCTCACACACACACACACACTCTGATGCTCTCTCACACACACTTGCACTCGCTTTCTCTCTCACAAGCACATTCTCTTTCTCTCTCATACACTTTATATGAAACATGTCACCAAAATACTAATAAAATATTTCTTTCTAATGCTGTCGAGGAGGCTTTGAATGACGACTGTGTTGCTTTTACAGAAGGTAAGGTGCATGTGGAGAGAATCTTTTTCTGCTTTTCTCAAGACTCCATTCTTTTGTGTGTTTCAAAATGTTGTCGTGACTTTGATAATAATCCCTGCCACAGCCTGAAATGTCCGAGGGGTGAGATGAAAAATAGGGATTTCACACCATCATTCATGTTCCTCAGAACAGTGTTTTCTTCCCCTCCTAGTAAATTCTGTGTACTAAAGAACATTTGACAAGCAAAAGGATGGGTTCTGAGGCCAGGCGGAAGTCTTATGTTGGCCTGGCTGAGGGAATAATTGCATTGGGCCTTTCAATCAGTAGTTTACCTCAGGGATTCTAGGTGAGGTGAAATCAGGACTAGACTGAGGGTTTAATGCTCGTTCTTCAGCTTTTTTTCCATTTCTCCCCTGCCAGCCATATTTGGAAATTAAAAGATCCTGCATTTACTGAACATGATATCATTGACACAGAGGGCCTAACTGCGTGTTACAGCATCCTCAGATCTGCCAGAAGGACATTCAGTCAGATGTACATTGCGAGTTCCATGCTCAGAACTCAATGCTCAGTTGCAGGGGGTTTGGATTGGGACTGTGGTGTGCAGGGAGATTTGTTTTATTTATTTTTTATTTAACCTTCGACTTCTATCCCGCTCACCCCCTAGGGGCTCTGAGCGGCTTACAATTCCAATTAGCCAATCTAATCTAGGGCCACATATGAAGGGGAGGTGGGAAGCCTACCAGGCACCCTTATCCTGTTGTAGCAGATCTTCTTATTGTGAGGGGGCAGGCCGGCGGCGACCCTCCTCCAGCGTAGGTCTTCGCTGTTCTGCTTTTTTCCGGCTGTCGTAACTCTGCCTCCAGGCCTGGACCACTCCGTGCTTCCGTGCCTCCGTCCAAGTCAGGCTCCGGCCTGCCGTGTTGCTCCGCCTCCGCACCTTGTTGGTCCGGCCTCCTCGCCTTGCCAGCCACCATTTTTTCTCCGCCGCCGCCGTTCATCGCTCTCCATTCTCCATTCTCCGCCATTGCTGCTATGCCAGGGACGGGTGCCCCCCCGCTCTAATAGCAGGTCCCCATTTTATTTACTTGCCCTTTAACGGGCTTTCGAACCGCTGGGTGGACGGGAGATGGGACGTAGGGCCAGGAGCTCACCCTGACCGCGGTGGGGTTCGAACCGCCGAAGCTCAGACAGCTCTTTCTTCAACCAGTGATTCCAGTTTATTAGAACAGAACACAACACAGAACAACCCCAACTTATATACAGTTTGGAATTGGCTAAACTGCACCCCTAGAACAGTAAGGTCCAATCACGAGCGAGTGCTTAGGACCAGTAGGGTTTGTTCCCGCCGAAAGTCAAAGTCTTCCCTGATTGGTCCATTGCACAACGGCAGCCATTCAGGCTGTTGATTCTTGGATACGGAGAGTCTATGGAGCTTGTGACTGAAGCTCAGGCTCACTCAGGCTATCCATATAACACAATACATAACAGAGGGCATCACATCTAATTTGGCTCTAGGATTTGAAGTTGGTAAACAAACCCTGGTTAGTTGCTGTTAAGGTCAGTTCTGATTTATCTGTTATCGGGGCATCGCTAAGGAGCCCCCCAGCATTATAATTACTGTTGGTCACTGTAGGAGGCATAGACTTAGCACCCTTATCAGAATGCAAATAGGGAAGATGAATTGCCTTGGCACTTGTACTGGACATAAGATTGGAGTTGGTTATATTAGGTTTGCATATCTCAATATTTGACGTCCTAAGCTAGGGATGCCAAGTCCCCCCGGGGGGTGGGGAAACCCCCGCCCCGGAGGCCCGTTCCCCGCCGCCGGCGGATCGGGCCCCCGGGGGGAACACCACCCCCAAAGCATGTCACACGGAAGTGACGCAAGCACGTCGGGGACGTTGGGGTCGGGGCCACAATCATCCAAGGGAAAACTCTATGGTTTTCCCTCGGATGGTTCTGGCCCCGCCCCCAACATCCCTGACATGCTTGCGTCACTTCCGTGTGACGTGCTTGTGGTGCACGCGCAAATACTCCCGGAGCAAGGCTGGACTCCCCCGCTCCGGAACAGGTAAGCACTTGGCAACCCTATCCTAAGCAGAGTTGCAGCCTTCTGTGCCCATTGACTAGAAGGATGTAACCCGCTTAGAATCGCAGTATGAATTACCAAAAAGGATATGATGAACATAAATTGATATTGGGCTTATGGAAGAGATGTAGCTCCTTTCTCGCATGTTTCTTGTGTACCTTTACACATTTTCTTTTTTGTATCTTGCTGGAAGTCTAGTGATTATTTAAAAACATGCCTTGAGGTTTCCCCCACCCCAGTTTATTATTCTTTACTACAAAATATTGTAGAGAGTAACTAGTTAAGAGCCAGTTTAGACAAAACTACAATGGTGCAGAATGACACCCACCTTCTGTCAGGCAGGTCTTCCTGTGTGTGTGCAGAGTGTGCGGACTGTAATCTGGGAGAACCGGGTTTGATTCCCCACTCCTCCACTTGCACCTGCTGATGTGACCTTGGGTCAGTCACAAGCTCTGGCACAGCTGTTCCTGAAAGAGCAGTGTTTGTCAGAGCTCTCTCAGCCCCACCCATCTCACAGGGTGTCTGTTGTGGGGAGGGGAAGGGAAAAGGAGTTTGTAAGCTGCTCTGAGACTCCAAGTGAAGGGCGGGGTATAAATCCAATCTCATCATCATCATCAAAATGAGCTGCCGGATATAACCTTCGCCTATGGCTTACATGCATAAAGTTCAGCATATGTATGATTTGCTTGGTATCAACTGCTCATCTGTGATCATTGGTCTTTAAGTAGTGTGTGCCTTGAGTTCTCTTTCTCCATCTCTTGCAGCGAGCAGAGATGAGCTTCAATCGCGAAAGGTTAAATTGGACTACGAGGAAGTGGGTACTTGTCAGAAAGATGTGATCAATGTCTGGGACAAGAAGCTCTTAAACTGCAGAGCCAAAATCAGATGCGACATGGAAGACATTCATGCGACTCTGAAAGATGGTAATTTGTGTGCATGCGTGCCATATGAGAGGAGTCTTTTCTGTCAAAGTACAGTAAGACGAGAGTTGTTACGCAGACCTCTTGATTTTTCCATTTGAAGGCTAACTTAAGGCCATCGGGAGCTTAATGCAGAATTGGCAAGCCACTGAGTCTTGTCGCACCCTGTTTCTTTGCTGTGGTTTATATAGTTGAAAAACTGCGTTGTCGTAGTTTAATGAAATCAGTGACCCCCTTTGTTTAGCATGGGCCATTGGGAAGTGCACGGCCCAGAATAAGCATCTGTAGGCTCCAACAGGGGTTTAAAAATGGGTTTCCTCATGGAACCAGACGATATGATTGCATGAGTTAGATTCAGAGATGAATAACTTAAACTAAAAAGAGAGAGAAGCCCATGTGCCAAAATGGTTCCTGGGGCTTCCTGCTTTTGCAAAGGCAAAAGAAGCATTTAGATATCACGGCAAGCCTCTGCTTCCCTCTCACCGGCATGAATGAAACCCATTTGCAGGTTCTCGTGCTTCCTGTCTTAGTGCACAAAGCACACCGACAGGTTTTCTGATTTGCAAGGCCATCAGTCACATGCCAGTTTCCGTTGCGATCCTGGGCTGGTTAAGAGTTAGTTACCTATCAATCAGTTAGTTTCTAAATCAGTATTCGCAGCAAATTTGGAAGGCTGCACTAACTTGGAAGCTTCCAAACACGCTCCATAGGTGCGTAAAAAAGGGTGTGGGGAAATTGTGATGCCTGAATGTGGCCATGCTAACTGAATTTGAATAAGGAAGAATGCCATCACTCCTGCTCAGAGAAGGCCAGATGATTTCTGTGGCAAGGAGAAAAAACAAAAGAAAAACCCGAAAAGTTGTTTACAGTAGTGCTCGTCCAAAATCAAAATCCAAAAACAAGCCACAGTGCATATCATACCTTTTATTACGACCAACCCCTAGATGGCACAGAAGAATGTGCAAACTTTTGTGTTGCTCAGAGGAACTAGGGTGCAAAGTGCTGCCGAAGGTACCAAAATATGTCTGCTTGCCTGCTGGCACAGGTCAGGCATGCAAGCAAGAAGAGCCTTAAAATCCATGGCCTGAAACATCCCCCCCCCCCTTTAATCATTTTGTAACATTCAGCAAAACTTGACCTGGAGCGCTAACACCATGGCTCTGGTGAAGAAGGCCCAGCAGAGGCTCTTTTTTCTTAGACTTTTAAAGAAAAATAATTTGAGTGAGAAAACATTGATGTCCTTCTATCGCTGCTCAATAGAGAGCATTTTAACATACTGTGTCTGTGCCTGGTTTGCCAGTTGTACGGCTGTGGATAGGAAAGCACTCCAGAGAGTTATCATCACAGCCCAGAAGATCATTGGCTGCCCCCTCCCATTCCTGGAGGAATTGTATAGTTCTCGATGTTTGAAAAAAGCAAAGAACATTCTGCAGGACTTGTCACACCCTGGACATTCCCTGTTTGAACTGCTGCCTTCGGGCAGAAGATATAGGACAATTAAAACAAGGACAAACAGATTAAAAATAGTTTTTATTCGAGAGCTATTACTGCCTTAAATGCTGTATGAAATTGGAATTTGGGTGACATTAGTGGCTTTAAGTTGCTATGTGAACCTTAGGGGAGTTATGAGATAGTTGTGAATGGTTGTGTGAGTGTATGAATATTGTTGTAGATCACCGAAATGATTGCCTCTTAATTTCGTTGTACTATGTACAATGACAATAAAGTATATTACTATCACTACTATTACTATTACTCAGGAAGAGTTCTATAGAACTTTTATTGCACAATGTAAAAGAAAGCTCGCGTGCTGTTTTGGGGGTCCTTTTGGTTGCTCCCAATTAAAGAGGGGAAAAATTGTCTTGTAGGAAATTCAACTGTATTCAATTCAAACTGATTTTACAATATATTAACCATAATTAAGAACCCCAAACACATGTGCAACAGCCGGTGTAGCCCTTAAAGCATAGAATAATGCTATTTATGGAGTCGAAAGTGTAAACTGGTTAGAATTAAATTTTGACAAAAATTACCAGTGTATTCAGTGACTGAGAAGGCTTTGCAAGATCTGCGTCACAGGGCAGGTGTCTGTTACCCTTTCGACACACCCCCTTCTCTAGTGAGTTCACACAGTGCACATGGAGCATTGATGTTCTCACAACAACCCTATGAGGTATGTTGGGGTGAGAGTTACTGGCTAGTAATCTTCGTGGCAAGTCGAGATTTGAATTCAGCTCTCACATCCTGGTCTGATATCCTAATCGATTATACCACATTGTGCTCAGGAAATAGGAAAACTAGTAGGCAGAAAGTCAGATTTGGATTTATTCAGACAGTGACCAGTACAAATCAAAATATTTACAATAAAGTAAATAGAAGAATGTGGGAAGGTAACAGGGTTCTGTGTGCCTTGGCGTTTAGTCATGCTAGCCACGTGACCACGGAAACATCTTCGGACAGTGCTGGCTGTTCGGCTTGGAAACGGAGACGAGCACCGCCCCCTAGAGTGGGATTCGACTGGCTTTGGAGCAAGGGAAACCTTTACTTAAATAGAAGAATAGACAGAAAGGAAGGCTGTATCATCTGAACATAGAGACGTGATATAGATATCAACGTGGTCACAAACACAGATGGAGACACATGAAGCTGCCTTATACTGAATCAGACCATCAGTCTATCAAAGTCAGTATTGTCCACTCAGACCGGCAGCAGCTCTCCAGGACTTCAGACAGAGGTCTTTCACGTTACCTACTGCCTGGTCCATTTAACTGGAGATGCTGGGGATTGAACCTGGGACCTTCTGCACACCAAGCAGATGCTCTACCATTGAGCCACGGTCCCTCCCCAGCGTGTGTCGCTTGGGAGAAGCTTTCAAATGACCCTCCCTATCAATCTAGTTCCAGCTCCTGCCAACCTAGCAGTTCGAAAGCAAGAAATTGCAAGTAGATAAATAGGTACCACTTCGGTGGGAAGGTAACAGCGTTCCGTGCACCTTGGTGTTTAGTCATGCTTTACCTTTACCTATCAATCAGTAGCTCAAAACGCCTGGACTGTTACAACCAAGATGAAGGTATTGTGTGAATGCCCACAGTCTCCTTGCCATGAGTACTAAAATATTACCGCAATCTAAATTACATCCTTTTATTTCTATGCTGCTAATCATACAGATCTCACAAGGATGTTCATGTGACATAGGCTGCGGTCACACGTGCCAGTTGAAGCGGAGGAGAAGCGAGACTATCTCCTCCGGAGGAATAATTTGACACGCAGTAGCAAGATCACACCTCCCTCTGTAGCTGTAGGTGCAGCCCGTTACTGTGTGATCAGATACAACTGTGACGGAGTGGTTTGGGGTTTTTTGGTCATTTGTTTCCCATGCGCATAAACGAGGAATCGCACCTCTACACTGAGGGCCCCCTATGGAGTATGCGATGATGCACACACTGCAAAGAGGGGGGGGGGAACGGCATCGAGCCGGGATGGCCTGATCAGACCATCCCAACGGCTTTAGAGCGTGCTTGAGCGATCAGACAGGGGAAAGTCCCTTCGTGGCCCGTTGGAACCCATTGACTACTGGACTTTCCCCGCTGTCTTTTAACTCTGTTTCTGCAGCAGAACAGCACGGGTTGCCGACAGCTGTGGGACACTTTCCAGATGTTGTTGTCTCATAGCTCCCTTTAGCTCCATCAGGCATTCGCACCCATGTCGGATTGAGAGGTGCGTGTGATCACAGCCATAGCGTACAAAATGCCCAAGTAACGAGGCAAATAACTACTGTGTTTCCCCGAAAATAAGACACTGTCTTATATTTATTTTTTCTCAAGAAGACACACTAGGGCTTATACCACAAATGCATAGAAATTCTGCTAGGGCTTATTTTTGGGGTAGGTCTTATTTTCGGGAAACTGAATAATCCTGTAAGCATGACAAGCTTCTATTTGTCCGCTGTTTAATGGCTTAAATAACGTGATTTGGTGGGTCAGCTTCGCTCATCTTAAGTAGGGCTTTCCGAGGGTGCCAAACATTTCATGGCTTATTGACTGTCCCATCCCGTTGATTGTATTGATGCTTTGTAATCTACCTTGAGTCCCAGTATGAAAGGCGGACTATAAATAGCATAAATAAATAAAAGTAAGGTTTCTCCCCCTCCAATTTCATTTTTTTCTTTTTTTGTGATTAATTTTTTTTATTTTCTCCCAAAAAATGGGATACAAAAGGGAAGGGGGGGGGTAAGGAAAAATGCAGATTCATCAGATTTATCAGATATTAATGGGTTGTTACATACAAGTAAAATCAGATATATTCGTAAGAATACGTATTTCAAATGTAGAAGCAGACAACGAAACATCAGTATTACAGGGTTTTGGGATGGGTTCTCTCTTTCAAAGAATACAGAAGAACTTTCCTAATGTTAGCGATAACCTATTAACAATAAGAAAGGGTACATCTTTAATAGTTAAACTAACTTATGCGCTAAAATTAAATCGTTAAGACCTGAATATTGACTTAATCGTTTGCCGAAATCTAAGTTTTATTCTTACTAAGTATTGAAATACTAGTGGAATACCCAATACAAAGATTAAAACTATAATCAATATCTCCCACAGCTTTAATATGATATTCAGATAATTCTAAAAATAAAAAAATAGCTATTTCCGTAAAATGAGTAGTAAACTTTGCCGTTTCCGCTGAAATTCTTTCAGTGGTCTTCTATTTATATAATTAATTACTTAATTCTCCCCCCCCCCCTTGGTATGTTTCAGGTGTACCAAAAAGCCGCCGGGGAGAAATCTGGCAGTTCCTTGCCGTGCAGCATCGTGTCCGACATCGGCTGTCGAACAAGCAACAGCCCCCCGACATCTCCTACAAAGAGCTCCTGAAACAGCTGACGTCTCAGCAACACGCAATCCTTGTCGATCTAGGTAACTCATGGGTTGTGAATTGGGGAGCAAGGCTTGCTGTACGTTTATGTAATTAAACCCCCCACCACCTATATGTAATGGTTGGGGAAGTCTTGTTTCCACGTATCTGAAGAAGTGTGTGCGCACAGGAAAACTTATATCCCAGAATTAAATATTGGTCCTTTCCGCATTTGCTTGCCACTCTGGATTTTCTCAGTGTGCGAGTCGAGGCAATTTAAGCCCAGGGCAAAACAGCATCCACATAAACTGGGGGAACAGCAGGTTGAAACCGGACTGACCACTGAAGGGAGGGGATGTAATGCAGAATGAGAAAAAAACCCGGAGTAAAAAGGTCCAACTCGATTTTAGTGCAGAAGGAGGGGGGTGGGTGGAATCATGGTTTAAAAAGAAGGTTGAATTCGATTTTAGTGCAGACTTGCTTGGAGGACACCGCAGTGAACACGGATTAAAAGGAAAGCGCAGAAAGGGCCTTTGTTGGCCTTAAAGGTTCCCCTGGACTCAAACTTTGCTCTGTGTGTTTACGGAACAGACAAGACTCCTCACCATCCTGGGCTGCTGACAGTTACGTGGGGGATATATTGTATTTATTTATTAAATCCGACTTTTAGGCCGCCCTCCCCTAAAAGACAGGGCCCAGGGCAGCGTACAACAGCTGTGAAATTACAAAACTTATCAAGAGGTTTCAAAATTAAAATAATACATAAGATGCGATTTGCAGCAGCCCAGGCCGATCTGATGGCGATAATTCCTGGAGCGTCATTGCCTCGTGGAGGAGGGAGGCGGGGAACGGAAGAGGAAGTGGTGTGCCGGACCAGATGGAGGACCATCGCTGTCCTCAACCGTATGCCTGGTGGAACATCTCTGCCTTACATGCCTTGTGGAATGGCAACAAGTCCCGCTAGGGCATGGATGTTACTTGGCAGAGAGTTCCGCCGGGTAGGGGCCAAGGCAGAAAAAGCCCTAGCCCTACTCGAGAACAGCCAAATGTCTCTTGGACTGGGGACCACCGGGAAGTTCTTATCTCCTGAGCGTAAAGCTCTTCTGGGGGTGTACCTGAATGCCAGACAGGATATCAGTCCTCCTCCACTGGAGGGGTAACTGTGCTTGACTGTGGTTCGCAATCCTGTTTCCCTGCGCACAGTAACTTGCTGGTCACCTAGAACATGTGCTTCCTTCTTGATTGGCCATCGTTGTGCATCTGAGTTAATAATCTCTCAAGCAACAGATGCTGAAAAGTGGCTGTCTGTTTGTTTTCAGGGCTAGTGTGGATAAACAGGGTTACTGTGATTTCTGCATTATGGCCTGGTTTTTGAGGAATAACCGTTTGGGGGTAACCCTTAGACAGGCCGAAAAAAACACTTCTAAGATTTTACACCAAGAGTTAGTGGATTTCTGTGACCTATATTAAGTTACGCAAAACATTATGTGTGTGTTTAATTTCTCTTCTGCACAATTCGTTTTCCAGTTTTGCTAGTCGGAGAGAGAGGGACTTCAGCAGTCTCTTGCAGAAAGGAGTGGGGGCTTAGGTAGGGTGGGGTTACCAACTTCTAGGTGGGGCCTGGAGTTCTCCCAGAATTGCAACTAATTGGTAGGCTGCAGATATCAGTTCCTCTGGAGGAAATGGCAGCTTCGGAGGATAGTCTCCATGGCGGCATCCCATCCCCTCCCCTTCCTGACCTCTGCAGTCTCCAAGCAACCCCCCCTCCCAAGTCTTCAGGAATTTCCCAAGCTGCAGTGGGCAACCCTGATGTGGGGCACTCACACACACACACGTACTTGGAAAATTCACTTAAAACCCCTCCCCATAGTTATTTTTTTAAAAGAAAGCTGAGATTTGCTTGTTGCTGGATTCCTGTTTTTAGCATTTTGTTTTGTGTGTCTGCCGGGGTGCGGTGGTGGTGAAAGCCAGTTTGGGGTAGTGTTTAGGAGCGTGGACTCTAATCTGGGAGACCCGGGTTTGATTCCCCACTCCTCCACGTTCAGCTGCTGGTGTGACCTTGGGTCAGTCGCAAGTTCTTTCAGAGCTGTTCTCTCATGAGCAGTTCTCGAGAGAGCTCTCTCAGCCCCACCCTCCTCACAGGGAGTCTGTTGTGGGGAAGGGAAAGGAGTTTGTAAGACGCTCTGAGACTCCTCCGGGTAGTGAAGGGCGGGGTATAAATCCAGTCTCTTCTCTTCTTCTCATTCCGACCAACATTCAGCTCTGCTGAAGCTTAATAACTCCTTTTGAGCTGTGGATCGGAATACCAGGGAAATGTTACCAGTGACGAGAGCTCTGTTTCTCACTGCTTGCTCCGGGTGAATCTCTTTCCGTACTTCCTTTCAGCACAGCAGATGTAGGTACTGGCACTGGGCAAGGGGCAGGGGAAGGGAGGTGGACCTGCCACTGGTGCCGTCAAATTGGGGAGCGGCCTTTACCGTTCCCCCTCCTGTTCCAGGTTTTGTAGAGGCAGCTGGTGTGGTAGAGTTCTCATTGTTTCATCTAGGGTTAAGGCATCGTGTCTGTAACCCCTTGGAGAACTGGTTAGCTGTTTAGATTAATAGTTTTGGATGCCCACTGTGACACTTTAATTCAGGGGTCCCCAGTAGGGTTGCCAAATCGTATTTACTCACCGGCGGGGGAGCGTTTGCTAGGTCTGGGAGCTGGCTGCAGATGCGCGCGCTCGCAAAGCGCATGTGCGCTGCCAGAACGTCACCGGAAGTGACGCAGGATGTAGGGCACGTTGGGGGCGTGGCCCAGATCGTCGGGGGGGGAACCATATGGTTCGGGGGGCGGAGTTCCCCCCGGGGCCCGATTCCACCGCGGCAGAAATCAGGCCTCCAAAGCGGGGGGAAATCCGCCCCCCGGGGGGATTTGGCAGCCCTAGTCCCCAGATTGGTGCCCACGGGTGCCGTGGTGCCTGCCGAACCTTTTCTGACACCCACCAAGTCTTTTTTTAGAAAGTGAGCATGGCCAGGTGGGGCTACTGCTCAGCGGGGTTCCTGGTTAGTACTGGGGATCTTCCGCGAAGCCCAAACTGCCACCATAGTGTTTATTTTATCCTCTCTGAGAGCCAGTTTGGTGTAGTGGTTCTAATCTGGGAGAACTGGGTTTGAGTCCCCACTCCTCCACATGCAGCTGCTGGTGTGACCTTGGGGCAGTTACAAGTTCTCTCAGAGCTGTTCTCTCAAGAGCGGTCTTCAGAAGAGCTCTCTCAGCCCCACCTACCTCACAGGGTGTCTGTTGTGGGGAGGGGAAGGGGAAGGAGACTGTAAGCTGCTCTGAGACTCCGATTGAAGGGCGGGGTATAAATCCAATCTCCTCCTCCTCCTCCTCCTTTCTTCCCAAGTACATTTTTAAAAACTATCCTTCTTGTCCCCCGTATTTGAGCTTCCTGTGTTTGTGTGTTTCTCTCTGCCTCCTGCAGTGGCTATTTTATGATTGGCTCCCCCCCACCCACATTGGCCGTTTTGTGGTTGCGCCCGCCTTCTCTGTGTCTGAAATCCCAAGGTGCCCACCGGCTCAAAAAGGCTGGGGACCTCTCCTTTACCTCTTTGGTTAAATGGGTCCCTTGTGCTCCCTGAACAGATGAACCTGCTACCCCACTGCTATCCTAAAAGCGTGCGAGTGAGTTCTAAAAACTGACCGCAGCCCTTTCCCCTCCCTGTTCTCGTTCCAGGCAGGACCTTTCCGACGCACCCTTATTTCTCTGCTCAGTTGGGAGCAGGGCAGCTTTCACTCTTCAATCTCCTGAAAGCCTACTCCTTGCTGGACAAGGAGGTGGGCTATTGCCAAGGTATCAGCTTCGTGGCCGGAGTGCTGCTTCTCCACATGAGCGAAGAGCAAGCCTTTGAAATGCTGAAGTTCCTCATGTACGACCTGGGCTTCCGGAAGCAGTACAGGCCGGACATGATGTCGCTGCAGGTGAGGCCGGAGAACGGAAATCAGTTCGGAGCACGTTGCGATACTGAGAGCAGGACGCGGGTTTGAGGCCGCATCACGTAAGACGGTGCGTGGGCTGAATCCCAGCCCGCTAGCCTCAGCCAGGCGATGTGGGTTGTGTTTGCCAGTGGCTGAGTCGAAGGATTGCTAGCCACCGTGTAGGAGAAATGCCAGGAAACTTTGTAGATGGTGTCTGGGGAGGGTGGGATTTCAGGGGATATGAGATCACATAAGAACATAAGAGAGACGCCAATGTTGGATCAGGCCAAAGGCCCATCCAGTCCAACACTCTGTGTCACAGAGTGGCCAGAAGTACCAGGTGCCATCAGGAGGTCCACCAGTGGGGCCAGGACACTACAAGCCCTCCCACTGTTGGCCCCCCCAAGCCCAAGAAGACAGAGCATCACTTGCCCCAGAGCCCCTATCTATACCTTGTGGCTAATAGCCACTGATGGACCTCTGCTCCATATGCTGTATCCTCCATGACGCTGTAGGAATTTCCCCATCTCTATAGTAGAGACCATGCTGGCTTGGGGTAATTCACAGAGCGTTGCCAAGGATGTGGCATCGCTTCCGGGTAGAGTTTTGGAGGATGTAAAGTCGCTGTGGTCTTGACCATACATATTGGGAACATTCTGAAGCGTCACCCCCGTGGATGCTACGCCCCCTCCGTTTTTGTTTCTTTTGCTCCTCGAATCTTCTAGGGTGGGGGATTGCCCTCTCTCAGTGGGCAGTTGGCAAGCCCACTGAACGGACATGAAAAGCACAGGACAGGAAGCGAGGTGGCAAGAAGACGTCCCTCTGTTCCTGTTTGCCAGTTTGGTGTAGTGGTTAGGGAGCATGGACTCCAATCTGGGAGAATCGGGTCAGTTAAAAGTTATTTCAGAGCTATTCTCTCAGGAGCCGTTCTGGAAAGAGCTCTCTCAGCCCCATCTCCCTCACAGGGTGTCTGTTGTGGGGAGGGGAAGGGAAAGGAGATTGTAAACTGCTCTGAGACTCCAAGTGAAGGGCGGGGTATAAATCTTCATCCTGTTGGAACTGGGGGCAACAGTGGCACAGTGAAGGTGGTGGGGCGAGTACTGAAAATACGTGGTAGTGCAATCGCTGAGGAGAATGTAGGGAAGGAACCAACCTCAGAGTTGAGAAGGTTCCAAGAGAAATCAACCCCAAAGCACTGAAGTGCCAGAGTTTCACATAAATTACTTCTGTGTGAACCAGAATGCAGAAGTGATTTTGAGGGGACAGACTGATACCAAAGGCTGGTTAGGGCTGTTCATTCATGAGGGCAGGGTGCCCAACTCATGTTTCCATGTTGTAAGTAAACCACTACCTTGAACCCTCAGGTGGCACAGCTAAAGGCAACGGCTGGCACTTTAGGATGTGGCCGTTGTAGAAGTAAAATTTTGGAGTTGTGCAGACTCAGCAGCTTGGATGCCAAGGAGGAATTTATTAGTCACATATTGTTATGACTAAATTGGGGCCAGTGTTCCCTCTAAGCTGAGTTAGCGTGAGCCAGCTCACAGTTTTTTAGCCTCCGGCTCACACGTTTTTGTCTTAGCTCAGGAGGGATGGCTCCAGAGCAAACTAATTTATGCAGTAGCCAAATTTCACCGAAAAGTTGCTCACAGCTTTAACGCCAGTAGCTCACAAAGTAGAATTTTTGCTCGCAAGTCTCCACAGCTTAGAGGGAGCATTGATTGGGGCTGTCAAAACTTTGGTCACATGATGACAAGACAAGAGCCGCTGGAAAAGAGAATAACGCTAGGAAAAGTTGAAGGCAGTAAGAAAAGAGGAAGACTCAAGATGCTATGGCATTGACTCAGTCAAGGAAGCCATGGTCCTCAAGTTGCAAGTCCTTAGCAAGGCTGTCAACCAGAGGGCGTTTTGGTGATCATGAGTTCATAAGGTTGCCATGAGTCGGAACCAACATGACGGGCACAACACAACTAGGGGCACAACACAACACCAACATGATGGGCACAACACAACTAGGGGTACAATACAACACCAACATGATGGGCACAACACAACACCAACATGATGGGCACAACACAACTAGGGGTACAATACAACACCAACATGATGGGCACAACACAACACCAACATGATGGGCACAACACAACTAGGGGTACAATACAACACCAACATGATGGGCACAACTAGGGGGGGTCAACAGTGGGAGGGCTTCTAATGTCCTGACCCCACTGGTGGACCTCCTGATGGCCCCTGGTATTTCTGGCCACTGTGTGACACAGAGTATTGGACTGGATGGGCCTTTGGCCTGATCCAACATTGGCCTCTCTTATGTTCTTAACACACACACCTTTAAATGTCTCCTTTTTGGGTGAATTGCCTCCTCTGAGGCAGCATTCTCACTAAGGCTGTGGTCACACACACCAGCTGAAGCAGAGGGGAAAGCGAGGCTGTTTCCTCCGAAGGAATTTGACACACAGTTGCGAGATCACACCTCCCTTTATAGCGGCGGGCACAGCCCGTCAATGTGTGATCAGACGAAACTGCAGGTGAGTCTGGCGTTTTTTTGGCCGTTTGTTCCCCATGCGCATAAACAAGGAATCGCACCTCCGCACTGAGAGCCCCCTATGGAGTATGCGATGATACACATACTGTGAAGGGGGTGGGGGAAATGGCACTGAGCCGGGATGGCCTAATCAGACCCTCCCGAGGGCTTGAGAGCGTGCTTGAGCGATCAGACGGGGGAAAGTCTGTCCTTGGCCCGTCGGAACCCGTTTACTACCGGACTTTCCTCGGTGTGTTTTAACGCCGCTTCTGCGTCGGAGCAGCACGGGTTGTCGATGACTGCGGGACGCTTCCCAGATGTTGCTATCTCATTGCTCCCTTTAGATCTGTCCGGCATTCGCACCTATGTCAGACCTAAAGGCTCGTGTGATTGCAGCCTGAGAGCAGCAAGCGTTCCTTCTCAGAGACCTTTCTCTAAGATTGTTAATACACTGAGATGTTATTATGCTGGGATTTTATTTTATTTTTAACTATCTTTCTGCTCTTTGTATGCCGTGTTGCTGCCGGCACGCACACGCGAGCAAGTGCATTAAAACACGTTCCCAAACAGCAAAGAGCGTGTATCAGCCAGAAACTCTTAAGCAGTTGTTATGCTGGTGGAGAGGGTGTGGTTCAAGGCTGGGGGAAGGAACACTGCTTCACCCCCCTCCCTCCAACTTTTCTTGTCTCAGGGGGAGCTGCTGTTTGCCCTGCGTAGGGAGGTATTTGGGCTGTCTGCCTACTCCCCCCCCCCCAAGCCATGTGAATACCAGATGCGGCAGTCCGCTGGAGGCCAGTGCCGAACAGACTTGGCATCTGCAGTAGAAACTCGTTAGCTACTTGAAAGTCGTAAAGATGTTTCCAAATGGCATCTGCAAGAAGCTAGTTTTAAGGAACGGTCTTCAGAGTGCATGGAGCTGCGGTGGCTCAAGTGGTTAAGACGCTGAACTGCAGGCTGTGGAAGGTCAGTAGTTCAGCAGTTCGAGACCCGGGTGCCGCATGACGGAGTGAGCTCCCGTCTCTAGTTCCAGCTCCTGCCAACCTAGCAGTTCGAAAGCAAGAAATTGCAAGTAGATAAATAGGTATCACTTCGGTGGGAAGGTAACAGCGTTCTGTGCGCCTCGGTGTTTAGCCATGCCGGCCACATGACCACGGAAACGTCTTCGGACAGCGCTGGCTCTTCGGCTTTGAAACGGAGATGAGCACCGCAACCCTAGAGTCGGATTCGACTGGCTTTCGAGCAAGGGAACCTTGACCTTACCTTCAGAGTGCAGGGGAGAGAAGGCAGCATTGTATAGCTTGATCTCATCAGATCTCGGAAGCTAAGCAGGGCCAGTGCTTGGAAGGGAGACCACCAAGGAAGGCTCTGCAGAGGCAGGCAATGACCAACCACTGCTTCTCACTTGCCTTGAAAGCCTCTCACCGGGGCTGCCATAAGTCGACTGTCAGTTGCAGCTTGACGACACGTACGTATGCGTTCAGAGTGGAGAGACTCCCCTTTGCCAGCCGCACATCACCATTTGCTCTGAGATTTAACTAGGGGTATTATGTGACCTGAGGGTGTAGGGGTGCATGTGTGTTCTCCTTTGGGTATTCTTCTTCAGGATGTTTTTGCATCATTTCGGCATGCTAATTTGAGCGAGCTACCAAGCCAGGTGTGATTTAGTGTTTTATAATTCTTATTTATATGGTGATCCCGGGCCCGAGGGATGTCCATCTGGCCTCGACCAGGGCCATGGCTTTTTCAGTCCTGGCCCACTCCCACCCGAGATCAGGGCCCTGCGGGACATTACAGTTCCGCAGGGCCTGTAAAATGGAGCTGTTCTGCCAGGCTTTTGTTTGAGGTGGCGGGTGCTCAACCATTCTGGTCTCCCCTGTTCATGGCCCGTTCCCAGTGCCTTGCTGTTTTAGATAATATTATTGGGCACTGGAGTTTTCTGGGGTACCCATATTTATTTAATTAATTAATTAATTAGTTTTACTAGGCCGCTCTTCCCTACAAGAGGTCCATCAGTGGCTATTAGCCACAAGGTATAGATAGGGGCTCTGGGGCAAGTGATGCTCTGTCTTCTTGGTGCTTGGGGGGGTCAACAGTGGGAGGGCTTCTAATGTCCTGGCCCCACTGGTGGACCTCCGGATGGCACCTGGTATTTCTGGCCACTGTGTGATACAGAGTGTTGGACTGGATGGGCCTTTGGCCTGATCCAACATTGGCGTCTCTTATGTTCTTATGTTCTTAGAGCACAGGGTGGCTTACAGCAGAATAATAACAATTAAACATTAAGAACAGATCAGTGAATGAAAACAAGAAACATATACCAGATCAGCTCCCCTAACCTCCACCTCCTTGGGTGGAGGGGTTGCGAGGGATGGCGGAGTGTCAGATGAGTGCTTCATATCCACCTGATTGGAGGCGACGGGGGGGGGTCCTTGTTATTGTTTATCGTGCCATCTACGGTTTCATTGTTTTTATTGTTTTATGGATGTTATGCTGTAAGCCACCCTGAGCCCACTTATGGGATAGGGTGGGGTATAAATTAAATAAATAAAACAATAAAAATAAATATGTTTTACCACCCAGGTACTTCGCCTAGGCATTAAAACAAGGAGGCTTCCGCGGCAGGTACAGTCAGATATACCTGCAGAAGCGGCATATGGGGGCAATGCTGTTTTGGAAACTGTGTCGTATTCAATACATCGGAACTTGCTTCCGAGTAACCCTGCCTGGAATCGGGCTGTTCTCCTGTCTAGCTGTTTCCTGCCTGAGGCACTAGGCTTCTTTCTCAAGTTTAAAAACTCCATTAACAATATAATAGGACTTGACAGCTAATCAATATCTGCCGGCTTCTCATTTCTCTTTCGGAGGAGATGGGGAGTCCATGTGCTCAGAATGGCAATAAGTCAAGGAAATGAATAGAATTTGCAGCCGGAGGGGGTGGGGGTGGGAGGAGGTTTTTTTAGGCTTGGGGGGGGGGGCTTTTTAGGGGGGATGACCGGAGGGGCGGGTTGGAGGGGGAGACACGTGGAAGTCTATCAAATGACTAGGAAGCGAAGCATTTTGCAAACAGAGATATACATTCCTGGCTTCTTGAGGAGATACATTGACTTCTCCCCCCACCAGATAAGGCACATAAAGTCCAGCAGCTCAGCATTCCGGGTTCCTCTGAGCCGGAGCATCGACCCGTCCTGCAAAGTAAACTTCTTCGACCATTGAGTTTGAACCGGTGCCAAATTTCAGCCATCCCGCGGGAGCAGCTTAGCATTTTTTGATAATGGGTCTTACAAATTCCTCCTCCTGAGGGCTCAGCTACCCAGGGCAGCTTCTTCCCTGTATATTTTAAGACCCACACTCTTTTCTTTTGCTAATGCAGCAGAAGGGATTGCCTTTTCAAGGAGGAAAGGGCACGGGGAGGGGAGTTTAATCCTTTCCTTCTCTCCCGTTGTTCATGTTCACTGGAGAAACCTACGCCATGAGCTGCCGTTATTCTCCCTGGTGGAAATGTCAGGCTTTACCTATATTGTTCATCCACAGTTTCTTGAAGCCGAGCAGTGTCCTGGCAAAAGGGTCACGTTCAGTGCTCCCTCTAAGCTGTGGAGTCTTGTGAGCAAAAATTCTACTTTGTGAGCTACTGGCATTAACGTTGTGAGCAAGCGATTTGGCTGCTGCATAGATCAGTTTGCTCTGGAGCCATCCTTCCTGAGGGGAGACAAAAATTTGTGAGCTGGAGGCTAAAAAACTGTGAGCTGTCTCACACTAACTCAGCTTAGAGGGAACACTGGTCACGTTCCTCACAGAGTCCCCCTTGAGGAATTTAGGCCAACGAGGAATGATTTATTGCTTAGGGGGGTTCCTTCATGTCCTGTATCTTCTAAGGTAAAGGAAAACTGTGCCACTGAGTTGGGAGTCCCAGTGTTCACCTCTAAGCTGTGGAGTCTTGTGAGCAAAAATTCTACTCTGTGAGTTACCGGCATTAAAGTTGTGAGCCGAGCGATTTGGCTGCTGCATAAATCAGTTTGCTCTGGAGCCATCCTTCCTGAGCTAAGACAAAAAATGTGTGAGCTGGAGGCTGAAGAACTGTGAGCTAACTCACACGAACTCAGCTTAGAGGGAACACTGGTTGCGACTGATGGCGACCCCATGAAGTTCTGCCTCACGGGGTTTTTCAAGGCAAGAGATGACCAGAGGTGGTTTGCTGCGGCCTTCCCCCACATATCACTCCCAGTCTTCCTCCGTGGTCGTTCATCCATGTACCAATCCTGCTTAGCTTCTAAACTCTGAGGAGATTGGGCTAGTCTGGACTATTAGGATTGCCACAGGTCTATTTTACCTTCTCAAATGTCTGAGGACACCAGAGCCACCTTCCTCCCAAATTCCTCATAAACTACTACCTCAGGGATGCCTCCTCACCGGCTAATGTTGTGGCGAACCTTCGGCCTCCAGCGGTGTGCATCCCCACTACAAACCCACTGAGAAGAGCTCTTTCCTGCTTTTCCCATTTCAGATAAAAGTCATTAGATGAACCCTGTGATTTGTTTATTTATTTCATTGTTACCCCGCCTTTCTTCCCGATGGGGACCCAAAGCGGCTGACGTCATTCTCTCCTCCATTTTATCCTCACCAACCACCACGTGAGGTAGATTAGGCTGAGAGGGTATGACAGGCCTCCGTGGCATGATCGAGGATTCAGACCTGAGTCTCCCAGGCACACATCCGGCATTCTTAACCGCTGCATCGCTCCCGCTCCCAGTCTTAATGGTTTTATTCCCCCCCCCCTTGTATGTCATGGTAGATCCAGATGTACCAGCTGTCCCGGCTTCTCCACGACTACCACAGGGACCTCTACAACCACCTTGAAGAGAACGAAATCAGTCCCAGCCTTTACGCCGCACCTTGGTTTCTCACCTTACTTGCTTCGCAGTTTCCATTGGGATTTGTAGCTAGAGTATTTGGTAAGGATTTTTTTTTTTTGGCTGATTGACAGGTACCATTTTAGCCAACAAATCTGGCTGGATGAGCATTGGCAGGAAGCTAAAACTGTTTTGATCTCTGCATTTTTTAAACATGAGGTTGTACTCAGATTTCTTGTGTTCTGAAGAATTATGAAGTCTGATTATTATTATTATTATTTAGCCAAGTATTAAGGTGTATCTAGACTAGTGGTACAGTCTGTCCCCTTTCCCAGGTAACTCCAGGTAACTCGGGTGCTTATGAAATATGTAACGGTTATTGTTTCTTGAGAAAGAATATTGAAATGAAGTTACCAATATCTGGAACCTTTGTTGGATTACCGTTGCGGAATCTATACAAACCATTTCTGGAACAATTCAGTGTTGATATACTTTATTGAAGGACTCTTATAATTTGATTGTACGTATAGTACGTTTGTACCTTTTTGACTTTCTTTATTAGCAATATATTAGCAGTCTGCAATTTCAGCGTCTTCTTGTGTGCACAGCCTTTCCTTTGGTGGAACTTTGGCGTCAGCAAGTGAGGTGATCGCTCCACTGAAGCCATGATAATGGATATAAGATTGGAACACTTTCATGGTGTGCTTTCCTTTGAGCCTTGTACCAAAGATAATGGTTTGACCCAGATATAGTTGCTACTGTTTGGTGTAGTGGTTAGGAGTGCGGACTCTAATCTGGGAGAGCCAAGTTTGATTCCCCACTCTTCCACATGCAGCTGCTGGTATGACCTTGGGTCAATTACAAGTTCTTTCAGAGCTGTTCTCTCATGAGCAGTTCTCGAAAGAGCTCTCTTAGCCCCACCTACTTCACAGGGTGTCTGTTTTGGGGAAGGAAAAGGAAAGGACATTGTAAGCCAGTCTGAGACTCCTTCAGGTACTGAAGGGCAGGGTATAAATCCAGTCTCTTCTATTGCAGAAATTGCTCATATGGTGGTCTTGTGAAATGTAAAATGAATTCACGTTGGTGTGTGAAAGAGCCATGTTGCTTAAGAAAGAGGGGTTACAATACATGAGATTTAGACTGACTGACCCCTTACTTACGTATTTCTTGCGTGTGCTGACTTGTCTGCCGAAAAACTGGTTGCAATTCATCTGCAATCCCAGTGTCCACATAAAACACATAATGTGTGAAATGGCCTTTTAAGGAAAAAGTTATACTTTGCAATTGTGTATGCTCACTCCTAGCATAGATCACACTCCTCTGAAATCAAATAAGAAAATAAACATTTTTTAAAAGTAAATATTAGAATAAAGAAACACGCTATAAGCTGAAATCGTGCAAATACTCTCTTAATGAGGGAAGTGATATTTCAGATACTGTCACTAGTTAAGCACCTTATCTAACTGATACCCTTTTGGGTTATTAGTATTTTGGGATTGACAGTTTTGGTCCTTCCTTCTAAGCTGGTAATGGAACAGTTCTGTCCTGGAAGGTATTTGACCCTCCCTTTCTATGGTTAAGACGCTGAACTGCAGGCTGTGGAAGATCAGTAGTTTAGCAGTTCGAGACCCGGGTGCCGCATGATGGAGTGAGCTCCCGTCTCTAGTTCCAGCTCCTGCCAACCTAGCAGTTCGAAAGCAAGAAATTGCAAGTAGATAAATAGGGACCACTTCGGTGGGAAGGGAACAGCGTTCCGTGCGCCTTGGTGTTTAGTCATGCCGGCCACATGACCACGGAAACGTCTTTGAACAGCGCTGGCTCATCGGCTTTGAAACGGAGATGAGCACCGCAACCCTAGAGTCGAATTCGACTGGCTTTCGAGCAAGGGAACCGTTACCTTTTACCTTTTATACTAGTGATGTTTTTAAGGAAAACAACAAGATCTTTTGGTCATGTTCTTACCCATACAGTTTGCTTTTAATACCTTGTATCTGGTGTTGGTTTTGCTCGTTGACCTAACATGTGTGAGTGAGAGAGAAGTACGGATGATTTTCTTATAATAAGAGCCCTGCTGAATATTGACACAAACAAGCCAGCTGGAAGTTGATTTGGGATTGGTGTAAGTTTGTGGCAATGTCTTGCCTTTACATCACTAGGTGATATTCAGCCAGTTTGGCTTCCGTTGGCTCGTTACCTTGTGCATCGTCTAATTAAAAACTCTGGGTTCCTTAAAATAAGGAGCAGCACGTTTTTTCCTATGCTCTCAGAATGCTTTCATAATG